TCATGCGAACCTCCTGGGATTTTCGTCCGAACTGTTTACTCGTAAACGTCAAGTTTTTGTACATAAGCGGATAATAAAATTTTTTTCAATTCTGTAAAAATACAACTTTGAATACAGTTCCTAAAATGCTTAGAAATTTCGTCAAAGTTTGGCACTAGTAGAAACAGTTACAAATTTTAAAACAAAGAAACATTTTTTAACATTACTTCGACAAGTCATTTTCAACAATGAGCAGTTCTAGTCTATCGAAAAAACCAGTTTTGTTCCAAATCAGCCTTGTTTGGTTCCTGCTAAAAATATCTTTTTTTATTTTATAAGAATACAAGTCTACCTACTCTACGAAGCACTCCAAACTAGCATAACTCATTTGTTCCTATCAGGTGCGAAATTTTAATTTGTAAGAAATGAGATCATAAAACTACGACAGTTTTGATGCTGTTTAGATGAAGAAAGTCTGATAACTGATATATCTGATAAACTGAAACATTAAGTAATAACCTAATAGGCTTATAGTTGGCAAAAAAACTTTGCTGATTGTAAGCTTACTGGATTGCTAAATCATGCAGATATTTTAATCAGGAACACGGCTATCAGTACCATTTTCCATTGTCATCTGCCGTTACAAACATTCTAAGCGTTTTATGTCGAGGAGTAAATTTCTGAATGATTTGTGTTCAAAAAAATTTTTTTTCTTGCAATAGCTCATAATTGTTAGATCTTTCACTCATCACGTTCAAGTATCTGTTTCTAGTAGGTGCAGTCAAGGCCTGGGGAACATAAAGCAGTACTAATGCCGTTTCAGCCAAAAACTAATCCTGCCAGTTTCACAAAGTCAAAAAAAAAAAAAAGAGATAGAGATACTTTGCAGGATGGTTTTTGTGTCGTGGCATAATGCATACATACATCATAGGCTTCGATTTTCATGATAATTTTTCCAGCCCATGCTTCACAATATTTGTGGCCTAATGGTAATTAGTTAAATTAATAAAAGACTTGCCTAGTATTCAATTTCTAGTCATCTTAAATACTTCATTGCAATATGTTGGTGATGTAACATTTAAAATGCGAAGAGAAAAAAATAGTTACTGATGAAGTTAATAACTGGTAAGGTTAGTTTGCGAGCCGGCAAAGTCAGTTACTCTTTATCCAAACTTCCCGCAGTTTCTTCATTTCGTTTGTCACTCTACTTCTTCCCACACTTCAGATTTCGTACATTTACAGGCAAGTAAATTTGGCATTGGGCCAATACCCGATCTTCTGCGCGGTGGGACTCTGTCTCAGTTTTGAGTTGATCATTTATAGTTGCGCCCGCTGAAAGTTAGAGCTAGTTTTTGAGAGCTTCATGACACATGATTTTTATTCTGTTATCTTCTGTTTTGCTTATTCAACTAGTTTCTTAAAACTGCAGGCCATTTTCACAGAAGTGTTTTAACTTTGATCAGCACTCATGGTTTTTCGCCCACTAGGCAGTATTTTAGATGGAATTTTTTTTTTTTTTCAACTGGGCGAGTCGATGGAGGAAGTTTGGTTGACAGTTAAATAAAAATGAAAAGAGACAACATCAATTTTTACCAATATTTGCACCGGTAGCTCATCCTCACGGCCCATTTGCTATCAATGAAATTTTGTTGAAAGTTAACTTGCAGTATTCTTGAAGTTCTGTTTTTTTTTTTTGTAGCTGTTATCCCAAAATATATTCAGCTGGTAAGAAACGAAATTATGATCAAAATTTGGATTCATGAAAGGAAGAAATAAGTTTAACTCTGCAACCCTCTCTGCGAAATACGGCTGTAATATTTTTCCAGCTTTTAATCTCAAAGCGGTGTTGAGAAGTGTGATTTTGATTTTCACTATCTGGCAAACTTCCAGTGTCTGTTGAAAAAAAAACCTGAGGGCTGTGTGCATTTACTATTTTGAGTTCTGCAAAATTCATTTAGTAGAAATAGAAATATTTTCACTTCGTACGAATGTCAAAATATGAAATTTTTTCCTACTGTGACGGTAATTATTCTTTGGTTTCTAAAAAAGCAGGAATGCCGATACATTTGAAAAAATGAAGCTCAAGTGGTAAACCGCAGAATCTTTAATTGGTAGAGCAGAACTCAAGTAAGGCAAACGTTGTAGACCTAAGTGTCAATGGAGGTTTAAGCTTTGCTTATTAGGACGAAAAAGGAAAATGTCAAAAAAAGAAGCGAAAAAAGTATAGAGACCATTTCTCAATACTTATTTGGATGTTCTCTAAAAGTTTTTATCTCGTAATTGGCTAGAGTGAATGCAGTTCTAGTACTCTGCATTTGCTTCAATTCCTGTTTTTTTTTTTTTTTTTTTTTTTTTTTTTTTT